GCTGCTTTGAGTGGACAGCTAGATCTGTCTGTATTGAAATCACCATGTGGTAAGTATTCTTAATATCTCAAGAAATTGATTTGCACTGTCCAAACCTTTTTGTTTTTCTCCCCATAAATGAAAAACCTAAATCGTTACCTGCATTTTGTATATCTGGTTGAACCTGTTCATGTGTGTACAAAATTCTTTGCTTTCCACCCCCGTTAAAAAATAAAATAAAATAAAACTTGCCATTTGACAGATTTCCCTTTGTATTAGCTATCTATTAAAGTAGGTAACAGGAGATCAACTGTCAATAAATATTTCAAAATTAGGGTTGTTTTTCTTCCAATGTTCACACCTTTGTTTGCTGCTGAGTGTAAAATGTTGTTTGAGGCTTTGTAATTGCACCTAATGGGGATGAAATTGAGGAAAAGGGGAGAATGGTTGGTCAATTAAAGGTAATTTTTATTCTTTTAACAAGCTGTATGTATCGTTGCAGTACTAGTTTCATCTTCATGCTCTACGGACGAGACAGTTGTAGCAGATTCAGATACCGAAGTTGAAACAGCCACATCAGCTCATGCAAGTGAGGCATTCTCCAATGGCAATAATGTAAAATACACCAAAACAGAAGAATTAGATGATGATTCTGGCACTTTGAATAAGAGTAAACATGAGAAAATGACGTTTCTACCAGATTGCATGACATAAAACGTGCAAAAACAGAAACATGCTTGGATGGTGCTTCTGCCAGATTGGATACACATGCTACTACCAACTTCGAGGATGGTAGTGGTGGTATCAAAGTAAGGAAAGACAAGGTTGATGATTATGAAAGTGGAAATTCAGATATTGTTTACAGCCAAAATTTAGTTGTTCGAGATATTAACGTACTTACGAACACAACTACTGCACCAAATATCAGTATTCCAGATTTCAAACGCTTTAGAAAGGTGTAGTTTTGATACCATATCTCTTGCTCTTAAGGAGCTTATCATTTGTTGTGGTTGAAAATTTAAAACAAAAATATTTTGGTTATCTAGTTCAAATTATATTGGGGCTTGTCTGACTTTTATATTCCACCAAACCTTATAGCCTCATGCAAAGTCAATTATTGAATGTTAACGTAAATGACTAGTTCAGTTTTCTTTGAAATGGAATTGCAGGCACAAACTCAATCTGGTAATAGTTTCGACAATCTTGTTCCATTTGCAAAATATCCGTACAAGTAAGAATAATATTGAATCTGATTGGTGATGTTATTTCAAACAAAATCTGGCTAGCTTTTCTAGTTTACTTCATTCCTTTTCTCCTAGTAATAGGTTATGTTATATCTCATTTGTTTTCTACCCCAGAGACTCTGACTATGGGAATGATGAGATGGCTGAGTCTGTGAAGGAGGAGAAAAGGCGAAAGCAAACGGAAGCTGTAGCAGAAGACCTATTTAATAATGAGAAGGTGAGTCTAATACCCACCCACCCCCAAAAAGAGAGAGAGAGAGTCCAGGTCCATATTTAAGCCTGACTTATTTAGTATCTACCTTATTACATGTTCCGCTGCAGGCAAGAAAGCGAGTTGGAGCTGGTTCTCTTCGTGGTATTCTTATTTCATGAAGGTAAACCTCTTTTTTCAATATTTTTTTTATTTCTTACAACTTTAAAATATTGATGGAACTTCAAATTAGTGCAAATCTTCTTGTACTTCAAAATTGTCAAAATAATGTTTTCATGAGTAACATGACAAATGACTGATGTGATAAATACCAGAAAGTACAACCTATTGTCATTATGCTTATGCAGAGCAAAGAAGAGAGATATTTTACATTACCGAGTTTAATCCTAAAAGATAGCTTGGTGGCACTATTTTAAGTTAGGCCATTTATCTATTTTGGTTTAACATACTAACTGTGTTGCTTCTATGCCTTATCCAAGAAATAGAATGTGAAATACTTATATGTACGCATACATAGTGTATAAAATAGAGAATGATAATGTTATGTTATATTTTGCAAAAAAAATTTCATGTGAAAGTGGACATGGTAATATGCTATATCAGAGTGCTTTCTCCAAAGATACGAACTTTGAACCTACTCCGTAATTTGGTATGTGTCCCAATTGCAGGTTAAGTTTTTCACCTGTTTGTGTTTTGATTGAGAATGAAAGGAAGTTATTGGCCTTATATGGTGACACTCTTCCTGTTATCTGTGAGAAGGCGCTTGAAGGATCTATCTGGTTTCCCTTGTTAGCGTATGAAGTAAACAAAGAGCTCTCATATTTCAGGTTGACTGAGATAAACATGTCTTTCTCTTGGATGGTAGATACTAGATATTGCTGAGTTTTCGACATGTTGGTTTCTGGTGCTTAAGTGTTGATATAAATCACATTTCTACCATAAATAATATTTATTCTCTTTCTATGTCGCGGACAGAGCCTGTTGTTGCATCTTTTCTGCTCTTTTTGTGCGAGTTCAATAGGAGAGGAGAGATGAGAAGAATTGCATCCTAGTTAAACGAAAATATAAATAAATAAATAAAGAGAAATGCTTTTCTCCTTTCACATGAGACAACATTTCATTCCTACACATACATCGACTTCCGTGTCAAGCTTTTATTTTTGTTTTTATTTTTTTTTAAATTGCTGGTCCCACTTTTTTGTTTCAGTAGGAGACAACTCTTCTCTCCTTTTAAAGGAGAAAAGTATTCCCCATAAATAAATAATGTGAGATTACTATTTCTATTATTTGTCAAAAAACTATTAAGACACATGTCAAGGGGACCGTTTCACCTAATTCAGAGTAGTTTGTTTCGAGTTTAAAAGTGAATATTAAACTTAGTCAACTGGAAGTAGTAGTCTGACCTTGAGCATTATATTTTAGTAATGTGATGATCCATTAATCCAACTAATGAAAAAGATTTGAGGCCGAGTAATTAACTTAGTAAAGAAACCTTAATCATTATATTAAAACTAAGCTTAATAAAGTTTAATATTATTATAATCTTATATTAATAAAATGAAATAGATAAAGAATTGTATTTTAAGTGTGATTTGCCCCTTTCCGTTTCTACTGCAGGCAGGCTTAATACAATTTAAGCCTTTATAAAGATGTCGGAGACTCATCAAAGCACAAACAATCATATCAAGAGTTACCGCTTCCATTTCACTTTCAAAGTCTATCTTTCCATTCAAATTCAAGAATTAATAGCATTTTAATGAGTAAAATCTACCGATGCTTAAAGTCAAGAATCAAGCATCCGTGATTTACTGCAAATATGAATTGAGAACCTTCTTTAGAAATCAGCCCTGACAACTATTGTAATTTTGTTTTTATCAATTTAACTTTGAACGTTCGTAATTTACTAAAATCACGTTTTCTTCAACTTAGTCAGTATTTTTATTTTTAATATGTGCTATTGTCGTATCACTCCGCACCATGCATCGAGAAAGAATTATTCCTCCAGCAACATGTAAGAATTTTTTAATGAGAAAATGTTAAGAATTTAGAGATTGTACTACAACCAATAGCATTAGGACACATTCTTATGTCAGCAGAGAGCAACAAATTATTTATCTTAACCCCAGATTCAGTTTTGCCGACCTCTATGCATCTCTATCTCAAGATTTATTATTTTTTCCCTTTAAGTTTAGCCATAAATAATTCATATTATACAGTGAATTCATAGGAAGAGTGACCATTTTATCACACTTGGCAAAACCAGATTGTCACGCCAACAATAAATTTTGTCAAAATGCCACGCTGCACCTTTAGCCGTTGTTGAAGAAGTCTGAAAATATAGACTTCTTCAACGACGGCTAAAGGTGCAACGTGGTATTTTGACAAAATTTACTGTTGGCGTGGCAGTCTGGTAAATTTTTTTGCCAAGTGTGACAAAATAGCCACTCTTCCGAATTCATATGGTCGTAAGGCTCTTAGACTAGATACAGTTTGATCTGAAGGAGTGTACCAAACGGGGTTATTACTTTTTTAACATCTTAATTTATCGAGTTGGTTACATTAAACTCCTAACATCAAGATCAGTTGTTATAATTAATTATCACTGATTTGAGAAATCAATTTAAATGTGCTATATACCTAAACTTGGCTTGATTGGCTGGGAAATAATTATAAAGGGAACAAGATCCTCTCATATTAAAAATTTTGTATCTATCTTTTTTTTATTAATGAAAATTGGATCAGCTTATTTAATGCATGTGAAGAGAAAGATAAACACAAAAATTTTATCATCAGATAATTCATTCCCATTATAAAGAATGAAAACGAGAAAGTGACTTCTCAAATTCTTGGACATTTGAGTTAGGGAAGCTAAAACAAGGAGTAAAAGATAAGATTATAAAATTTATTGGCGTGCTTTTAGATAGTTTTATTTAGTAATATTACAAACCTTTGTTTAAAAGTTTCTCTGCGTTATTAGTTAGTGATTCTATTGCAATCAAAATAACACTATATATTATTTTACTTCTATTAAACCCAACTCAGATACAACAGTAACTAGGTAACTAACTATAAAAATTTCCGTTCCTTATTATATCAATTTTCACTTTTTCCACCCTTCCCAAACAAGATTTGAATTACGTAACCTGCAAGTAACTACGACAGGAATCAGAAGATGGAAAGGACTCAGGGAAGCAGGCGAAAGCCAGTTAAGTCGTTAAATCAACTATATATGTTCAACCAAATACTCTATTTATACTTTGTCCTAAAGTTGATTACACCAATAAATCATCCTTACAAATTTTTATAAAGAAAAGTTTAATAATACTTGGTATTAAGCATATACAATAACAATATATGCTATATATATATATAATATGTGAGCAGAGAAGTAGCTGAAAAAACAGCATCAAAGTACAAGAACTGTATCTGAAAGAGCTGGTGGAAAGGATATTCCATCTCAATAGAAATCTCGATCAGAAACCATAAAATAAAATAAAAAAAATGAATAGCAATTGGTATGTATATATTATGCTATATATAAGGATGAATATCATGAACTAATGAATTCATAGCCTAAACCTGAACTTACATTTACTGCTCCGAATTCTAATAGAACTATTAGCATTAAGGTTATCCACTACGATCCTGCACCTAACCCTGAACGTGATTTTAAACAGTTTCAACTTGCCAAGCTTAATCCTCACAGGCTGTTTGACCTTGAGACTGAGTGGAACATAACCCGCTTGTTGAAGCTGTTGCAGCAGATTATTCTGCAAGCCAGTTGCATTCTGTGTTTGCCCTGAAAGAGGGATACTGAGGACAGTAGTGTTGCGGTGACCCTGGTAGAATTTTGGCAAAGCACCTTCACATAGTTTTGTGTCATTGTACCAACCACTTAAGTGGCTTCCACCTCTATAGTCTATTCCAATCTTCTTGTTTGGGTTTCTAGCAATAATTGTCAAGTTGAAAGTAACAGATAGGCTGTTGTTTTGAGAAATATCAAACTGGCTAACACTCAGTTCATCCACAGAGTATTTTGGAATCTTTGGTCTGAGCACAAGGAATAGTATCCCAATGGTGATGCCAATGGCCACAATCAGAATCAGCAATATGCTTACCATCCAACACAGGAACCTGCAGCAGCAGCTTCTTCTTTTCTTTGGTGGCTTCACATTCACAGGTAAAGTGCTTTGTGGGGGAGGAGGAGGAGGATGCACCCCATTTTCAGGATCACCATTATCAGATTTAGACACCAAAGGTGCTGAAGGTTGGTTTGGTGCCTCAACATCATCATGGATAGGATGGACTTTTGGATGATCTGCCATCTTTGGTTTAAGAAAGAAATATTGCAGTTGTTGATTCCTTTTTCCCCTTTTGGTTTCTCTGCTATGTTAATATACATATATGTGTATATATAGGTGGTTAAGAGGAACATGTTTGATTGGAGCAAGGAATGGCCTATAAGAAGGGTTGAAGGTTCACAATGTTGACTTGAATGGCTCAAAATGTTGGTATATTTAAGGTCAATCACATGTCATACGCAGGCACAATATTCAATATTCGTGTCTTCCTTCCTAGTCCCTAGATATGCTGCCTTATAAAGCCGCCGAAGCTTCATTCTTCTTGCTTTTTCATTATTCAAGGGTCTTGTTTAATGCTTGTGTCTGTGAGCATGACGTACTCCGTTATGTTATGCTTTCTAGACCACCTTCACTTTTCTTTTGTACGTTCAACTATTTAGCCACATAAAATATTATTTTCGTTCGATATTGCTTTCTTACACTCATGTATTTCGTATGTAATAGCATATACTTTTTTTTAAAAAAAAAAAAAATAGTTAATCTATTATAACGTGAGATTAATAGCTATGTTGTTAAAAGGTGTGACAAGAGGTATATAAAAATGTGAACGAATATCGTTATTTAATAATTTATCATAATTGAAGTAGCAATAAAACAATTACTCTTTTATGTTATTATGTTATAAAGAATAAACCTTTTAAATAAATAGTACGTTAAATCTGGCATTAAATAAAAAACTGAACTCAAATAAGGTGATTGGTTTATGTCTTCGCTTTTTCTGCTTACTTACTGAAGATAAGTTATCTGCAGTAAGCCAATACGACGTCGTTTTAGGACGAAAATCATAGTGTTTTTGTAATTTTAATTTATTTCAGGGTTATAATAGTCTTTATATTTATAATTTTTTAAAATTTTAATACTAAAACGACGTCGTTTTGAGAATAAATGCAGATAACTTATCTGCATTAACTGCAGAAACTTTTTTTCCCTTGGTTTATTGCATTATTACTTTTTTTTTAGAGTTACACTCTACAATTCAAAACAAAAAGGATTTTGTCTGAATAAATTAGATTAAAAAATAATTGTTTGACAAAATAATGATCGAACTGCTCACCCATTTGAAAATCAACAAATATATATTACGAATAATTTTATTGAAAAAATTGATAAAAAGGAAGTTTTTTTTTTATTGTAATGGTATCTATATATTTCATACGGTACAATATTATTTTATAGAGCTTTGTTATATCTTCGGAAGATATGTCCTTCTCGTAGTATTAAATGAAAAAATATATATGTTTATTATTAAAAAATTAAAAATTATTTATTTAATAATTTAGATAATTAGTTAATTAGTAGAATTTATAATTTTTTTATTTTTTATTTCACATAAAGGAAGGAGTTTAAATTAAAGGGAATAATAATAGTCAATGCCTCGTTTGAAAAAAAAAAACATTTATTAATTTATTATGCGAAGGAATTCCTGGTTTAGGAGCCATTACTGAATGAAAATGACTGAAGGAGCAGCGTGGGTTCAATGTTCTACAGTTTGAAACGGAACATCACAAAATTTTGATAAATTAATCCCCAAGTCCGTTACCAATATTTTGCATTTTTTTTTTTGAGTGGGTTTGTTATAAATTATAATTTGCATTCTCCTTGCTTCTCTCTGTTAAACTATGGCTTTTTCATCCTTTTACCCCTTATTAATTAATTAATAACTATTTTGCCCCTGATTCGAAACTATTTATCAATCTGCCCCTCTTTAGTTGACTACCTTGCATTTTTAATCGACTAAATGGCCAAAACAGACAAAAAATGGCTGCTGGGAGATTTAGTCGACTAAATCTCCCTATTTAGTCGACTAAATCTTCATATTTTACAAAAAAAAAATAAGTCAGTATGATTTTAATCGATTAAGTAGAGAGATTTAGTCGATTAAATCTCCCAACAACCGTTTAGTCGATTAAAAATGCAAGGTAGTCGATTAAAGAGGGGCAGATTGGTAGATAGTTTCGAATCAGGGGTAAAATAGTTATTAATTAATTAATAAGGGACAAAAGGGTGAAAAAGCCGTTAAACTATAGTTCTAAAGTTTAGCTATCATAGTGTATAATGCATATAAAACTCATCCACAATTTGGTGACTACGTAGGTTAGCAAAAGCATATAAAATATAAACATTAAAAATAAAATAAAAAAAAATACCAAATAGTTAAAAATGAGCCATGCATGCAGCTTCAAACTTATAAAATTTGTCACGCCCTAATCTTAAGCTAATTGGTGAAAATGCATATTATATGTCAGTAATTCTTAAGCTAATGAAGCTTTATAACACAATAACTAAATGTCACACCATAATAACAAATAGTTTTTACAATATCTTTATTGACTTTTAGATATAATATTATACAATTAGTTGATAATCTAAAACATTTTATACTAACAGTTAACTCATTTTTTTTTCCTTAACTATAACAAAAAGGTAGTGTCCCTTTGAAGTCTGGAGTCTCAACAATATGCACGTCTCCTTTTGCTTACAAGTAAGAGGTTTCCATTCATACAAGCAGGTTATAGTTTAGATTTAGAAGGTTATTTGCGTGTTTTATGCTTTTTTCCACCCTCAAGACGTGTCTGTATAAAAGACAAAGTCGTACCCGTTACTTTTAATTATTATTATTATTACAATTTCTAATGAAATGCATGCACAATCAAAGGATGCGCTTTAATTTAATTTGATTTGTTTTTGACTCACCAAATCCAAAGCTATATGCCCTGTGATATCATGGATGCCATCAGCTATATTTTATTTTTGTCATTGTTACTTTGGTGAGGGAGGAGGCCAGGAGGGTACGTTTCAAAGTGCTAATAGAATATTAGATAAAGATAATAAAATAAAATAAGACGATTTTATCCCCCTTTACTTATCAACGTGATACTGTAATGTCACTAGAAAAATAGACACTATAGCAAAATGAATCTACGCATAAATAATTAGGAAAAAAATCCGTTTACAAATATTTTTTATAAATTTTTATAGAATTACATTATATATTTTTGGAAATGTATAATATAATTTTTACAAATTACACTATATATTCATGAAAGTACATAGTGTAACCTAATGCACTTCAGAAAAAAAAATTATAAATATAACGCTTCTCAAATAATTATTATTATAATTATTTTTTTATGTTTCTTTTTTATAACATTAAAGATCCGAATTCAAATAAAAATATCCATAGTGTATTACATCCGTTCACAAATTTTTTTTATAAATTTTTACAAAATTACATTATGTATCTTCAGAAATACATAGTATACTTTTTGTAAATTATGCTATGTATTCATAAAAGTACATAGTGTAATCTAGTGCACTTCAGAAAAAAAATTGTAAATATAACTAGGGATGTGCATGGGTCGAACCAAACCGGATTTTTTGAAAAACTGAACCGAATTGGTTTAAATGGTTCAGTTTGAAAGTAGTTCGGTTCGGTTCGGAAGTAGTTCGGAACCGGTTCAGGTCTACCCTCTTTTGAAAAGAAAAAAAATTAAAAATTTTAAAAATAAACTTTAAAAATTAATTTGGTTCGGTTTGAAAATGGTTTGGTTCGGTTCGGAAACGGTTCGGTTATTAAACCAGTTCTAAAAATTGGTTCGGTTCATGAACTGGATTTTAAAAACCGGTTATTTTATGGGGCGGTTCGGTTCATGGTTCGATCCAATTTGTTGGTTATTTTGCACATCCCTAAATATAACACTCCCCAAATAATTACTATTATAATTATTTTTGTATGTTTCTTTTTTATAACATTAAAGATCCGAATTCAAATAAAAATATCCATGGCTAAATTGCCAACTAGTGCACTCAAGTAAAATAAATCCATTGGACCTTTCAAAGAAGAGCTATAGCCTATATGAACCGTAGAAGTTTCCTAACTCAAGCTCAAAGAAATAAAATAATCTTCCTGTCTCTTTTTTCTTTTTAATGTAATACAACATGGCCACATGGGTATACAAGAATTTTTCATTAGGTTGAAACATGAAAGCCCTCTGGACCAAGCCCAAAGGATCAGGTCGAAATTTGGACCCAAAACTTTGTTTTGCCCAAAGAGTTTAACGAAAAATGAGTTTTTTGGAGGCTCTAGTAAGTTTAAAGATGGTGTAATAATAAATTGTGCACAAGATTACTAACCATTTGAATCCTGTAATTAACATGGTTTTTGGCACAGTGCAAAAGTATTGTTTAGTTCTTAAGATAGTAGGTTTGTGAATCCTATATTTAAAAAGTTGGAAAAAAAAATTCTTCTTAAAACCTGTTCGGAACCGGTTCTAGTTCGAAACCGGTTTGAAACCCGTTCATAAGCGGTTCGCGTCGAACCGATTCCAAACCAATTCCGAAACGGTTTTAACCGAACCGAACCAGTTTCATTTTAAAAAAAAAAACGGTTTCAAGAATCGAATCGGTTTAAACCGGTTCAGTTCGGTTCTTCAAAAAATCCGGTTCGGGTCGACTCATGCCCATCCCTAAATAGCATGGCCCTCTTTTAGTTTATCAACCGAAACTAAAACTTCACCACTTTCTGCCTCTAGAAATTTTGCAGTGTGGATGACCTGACTGAATTGTCTCTACATCATAGGCGGAGTAGGGCTTAAATTTGAGCTATATGTGTATTTATTTTTTTAAATTTTAAATTTTAGTTAATTCATATCATAATATATTTAAATTATATTAAATATAGAACATCTGAGCAGACAGCATTAAGAAAAGTTATAATTTTATTAAATATTTTTAATTTTACTAAAAATAATTTTTTTATTTTATATAAGTGAAAATTAGATACATGACTTAATTATCACGAAAGGAAAATAGCAAACAAGCATCATCAGCACTCTTCTGTGAACAAGTATTCTAGTCACCAAACCCAGGAACCCCATCCATACATTTCATCTCCAGAACCACGAACTGAATACGTTTCCCAATCGTGTGGAAATCCAAACAAGTGAGAACATACCTGTTAAAAG